GGCTGCCATTTGACATGTACTCATACACCAGAAGTAGCTCACCTTTTCGACGGCAGTAGCCGAGCAATTGGACAAGGTTGGGATGCTGCATGCGCCCGATGCTAACGATCTCGGCAACAAATTCCTTCATGCCTTGCTTCGAGTTGTGTGACACCTTCTTCACGGCGATCTCAGATTTCGACACTGGAAGAACTCCCCTGTATACTTTCCCAAATCCTCCAATTCCCAGTAGATTTTTATTCTTAAATCCATCGGTCGCCCGAAACAAATCCTTGTACGAGAACCGGTGCGGCCCAAACTCAACCTCCCAATCTTCCCTCAATTCAGTGTATTTTAGCTGCCTTCTCCTAAGTAGAACAAGAACGGTGCCAACAAATAGAACTAGTGCAGCAGTGGCTATTGGCAGGCTGATTTCCGGGACCTTGGATCTTGGCTTTGAGAACTCACGGGGCAGTTTTGGCAGCTTGGCGACGTCGATGGCCGGCGCAGGTCCATCCATGGCGAAGCTCCATCCAAGAACGTAGTGTCTTGAGTCGACTAAGCCCGTGGACGACGAGAAGCCGATGTATGCCATGTCCGGGATCACCGTCGAGAGGTCGTATTCCGCCGAGAGCAGTGGCCTGGCAGGTTTGCCCATCGTCAGGGGAGCCAAGGTCACGTCGATCTTCTTGGCTTCGCCGTCGTAGTCCACCCACGCATGCATCGCCTCGTGGCTGATCAGCGTCAGGCTGCGGAAGCCGCCGTCGCCGTCGTCGGGGTAGTAGCCGGCGTCGGTGGAGTTCACCGAGACGAGGCTGTTGACGTCGATCCCGACGTGGTTGTCGCTGATGTCCCGGAACTCGTTGTTCTTCATGGTGTCGAGCTCCACCGCAAAGATGCGGTTGGTGGCGTTGCCGTTGTTGCTGCCGTTGAGGATGCCGAGGTACTGCGCCGCCATCTCGGACGAGAAGTCGGTGGTCGGAGCCACAAAGAACGCGATGCCGTTGGCGCTCACGTCCGGGTAGCCCGAGAGGATGCCGAACACGAAGGAGGCGGAGAAGGACCGCACGGCGCCCCCGGCGGCGGGTGTCGTCATGTTCTGGTCCCGGAAGCGCAGCTGGGTCGGGTAGATGGCGTGGCCTTTCTGCCGGAGCGTGCCGTTGGTGAGCTCGAGCAGGCCGGTCGACGTGACGGACGCCGCGCCGTCGAGGATGAGGTTGCTGCCGGTGAAGCCGGAGTAGACGAACTGGTCATCGTCTTCACCGGCAGTGAAGGCCACAAGGTGGAGGCCCACGAGTAGGAAGCATATCGGCAGAAGCTTCTTGCCTGCCATGGTGGTTTCTTTGTGTTCCATCATGGATTATTGGAGGCAGCTAACTGCAACTGCATCCTCTCTCTCAAAAAAAAAAAAGGCTAAGAATTGCATAGACGCAAGTCGTGGAGTAGTGCACGAGTAAAGTTGAAACCAAAACAAGGAATAGGCTAAGATTTGCTTTGTGAAACCAAAACAAGGAATAGGTGACATATATAGAGACTAGACGACTGACGAGTTAAGGGATATGACAAGATCACAAGAGGACAAAATGAGACGGATCCTGATAGGGAAGGAGCACCATGGACCATGACAAATTTTTTTTGTACATGCGTGTAATCCCTCCCATATACTCCTACCCAATCACTACTACCCAAACACTTTTCCGAGCCAGGTAAATTATCATAAACACTACTAGCCAAACAGTTTTCCCAGCCGGGCAGAAAGGCGGGCAGGCTACCCGCCTCAAATCAACCGCCCGCGTTAATCATTTTAAATGAAGACGGTCAAAAGACCACCTCTGGAAATGGTATTTTCAAAGGCATGTGAATTACAATGTCCGCATTCGAAAATAAAAAAAACCTTCAGGTTCTAGAGCCAGCTCCAGCTTCTGAAGCTGCCGTCGCCGAGGCTCCTCCGCGCATGCATCGCCTGAAGTGTGCACAACCCGCCACCATCAGTGCTGGCTCCCATCGCCCTAGATGCTTCGTCGCCCAGATTTGCTGGCTCTGAAGTCCTGCCGCCCTACACACCCGCATATCTGCAAAGGGGGGACAGGGAAGAGTGAGGGAGATGAAGAGGGGAAGATAGAGAGAGAAAGAGGGAGATGGAGAGAGTTGTACCTGCCCTGCCACCGCCGTGATGCTGTCCCATCAGATCCGCCTGCCCTCCATCGGACCAGGCCGCCCTCCACCGGATCTAGCCAAGTCCTCCATCAGATAGGGCCTCAGACAAAGCTATGTGTGGCCGGCCACGTGGTCCGAGGGCAAGACCTGCTGCCCGTATCCTCCTCACCTCCACGTTGGAGAGGGAGGCGCCCCCGTCTCCTCCTCACGTCCACACCGGTGAGGGAGGCGCGCATAGAGAGGGAGATGCTCGCACGTGGAGAGAGAGAGAGAGAGAGAGAGAGAGAGAGAGAGAGAGAGAGAGACCAGAGAGGGAGCGGTGGGAGACAAAGGCGCTCGCGCAGCTCGCGACTAGAGACGAAGGCGTCCATTTCCTCGTGTGCGCGTGTAGAGGGAGAGAGCCGAGCACTTCTGTTGGTGCGGCGACTGGGTGATCAGAGAGGTGGAGAGAGGGGTTGCGTGTATATACTTAGGGCTTGGAGTGGGCTGCTGAGTGGGCGTTGAGCCTTTTAACCGAGGCAGGCCTTCTAAGGCGTCTGCCTCTGAAAAAGGATCCATTTTTTAAGGCGGAACTCGTAAGAGCGCCTTTGTTAATGAATTTTGGGAGACAGGTAATTTGTAATCGCCTCCGATAAATACTCTCTCCGTCCATAAGTCTCCATCATCTGCGAAAAAAAGTTTTCCAAGAGTCTCCATCATATTAGATAGGGACCATGGTTCGCCTCGTCTACACATGCCCGTGACTCCTCACGCGCTGCGCATTTGTTGCTTCGTCTGTTCTCCTGTCGCATTAAATATCTCTCCATCCCCTCCCATTAGGAATCCATCCAATGTCCTCCACCATTACATACGTGAGTGGGCTAAGAACAGATGGACGTGAGCACGTGGGGTTACGAACATGAACGCGGCTAACGAACGGAAGTGGGGCACTAAGAGGACCGCAACGATTAAATGGGAAATCGGCGCTTGTTCGCTGCTCCTTAGTCACTGTGCCGAAGGCGAAAACGATGGAGACTTAATATGGATGGAGAGGGTACATTTTAAGAGACAGGCAATTTATAACCACCTCCATATATGAAATGAGTGCCTCTGTAAATACATTTTGAGCGATGGACATTTTGTGTCTGCCTTCGAAAATCCTCAGGTATTTTAGGAGACAGGCAAATTTTGTGACCGCCTTCGTTAATATCTAGACAGTGTCACTTAAAATCATTTATGTAGTAGTAAAAATCCAACGTTTTCTTCTTTGTGTTTGTGATTAATGTGGTAATTTTTAGGCCCTCTCGGCGAACTGGTGGCTCCTTTTTAACACTATTGTCTTGACGGAGGGAGTAATAGATGACGGTGTGCTGGTACCTTTTGTTTTCTGAGGTTTAGCGGACCTTGTCTCCCTGCCGGAAGACCAGAATTCAACTTGAACTAAATGCTTGGTTATTTGTCAAGATTTTCATACCGATGAGAGGAAGTATAATATCTAGCCCTGGGCAAATTTAATCGAGAACCAAAAATCGAACCTGAATAACTAGAACCAGAACCGAAAGAACTGGAACCAAAAAATTCGATTCCTTATTCGGTTCCTGATATTGAGGAACCGAAATAACCGAAGAAAATTCTGTTCGTACTCTTGGGTAACCGAATTAGATGAATTATACTTCACTTACTTATATTTTGTAAGATTATATTTGGTTTATGTGTGGTGTTTTATATTTGCCCTGCTATATATTTGTGTTACTATATTGCTATTGTTTTCTTATAAATTATTATTATTAAAAATTAATATAGTGTTGTATAAATTTGCCTTACGACACGTATATTTATTGTTGTCTTGAGGTCTTCTGAAAAAGTTTGGTTAGAACCGAAACCGAATCGAAAGAACCGAGAATTGAACCGAGAACCGAATGAAGCTGGCTAAATGCTGAGGTGGCGGTGAGAGGAGAGGAGAGAGAGCATAAGCAGGCTGTAAGTTTACAGCTGGCTTCGGCACAAAAACAAAGAAAGCTTATGAGAGAGACAAGTGAGCCATGTATTAGTATTGATGGACTTACTAGTATATGAGTGGATTGAGAGAAGGTTACAAAGAAATCTTACAGCAAGCAATCGACTATATTATTAGCCTGGCTGTGATTGTCCTCGAGTGGAACACAATTTTTTAAGTTGATACGCTAGTCCTTTCCCTATTTTTTTTATGAAAAGCTAGGATTTTTTTAAATTGAAGTTTGATACTTAAGTTTCTTAAATGCAGATTCTTCATATGTAATGAAATTTGTACTCCCTCTCTTCTAAAATAGAAGTTGTTCTCGCTTCTCGAGAACTCAACATTTTTTAACTTTAACTAATTATATATAAATGTTACATGCATTTTCTATCAACCTGGTTAAAACTAACAAAGTTTAACATGAGGGAGTAGAATGCTGCCTGCACAGCCCGAAGAAAAAACTGCTGCGCAATACTAGATTCCTTCTACCATTATTTTAATCGATTTTAGTACGAAGTCCCCCTTGGCGTCTTTGAAGGAACAACGCATGGCGAACGTTGACGGGAACAGCTCAGGCATTGTCCCGTCTGATAAACTTCATAGCAGTCCCAATCTGCTAGAAACAGTTTAATACCAGATGACATGCCGTGTTGAGCAGTTTAATACCAGATGACGGGAAGCGTGCTATCCAATTGCCAATAAATTCTGTCAAATGTCACTATACCATTATTGGTCGTCAAAACTGTCCCTGAGTCATCCTTGAACGCATACCCACGAGGCTGAATCTCCACTTGTTTTTCCTCTTCTCTCATAACCAAAAGTGGTGGTGGAGGAGAGGTGCATCGCTGTCTACTAGTGGTTCACTTTGTTGAGTCGCTTCTTGTACTCGTTAAACAAAAGTGAGTCCAGGATTGCGTCCTAGTGCAAAGGACCGCCGTGCCTTTTCAAATGCATAATATTTTAGCACTATTTTGGCACACATCAGAGAAAAAGGTGCGATTAGTCCGATGAAAATATCGAAGTAGGCTTTCAAATCTATGAGGTTGTGCTCCAAAGTAATAAAACCAAGGTAAATGGTCCATAGAACCTGAACAATTAGGGTGATATTGGGACCTACGCTTCGACCTTCTCGACCTTCAGTGGCGACTGCTGTGCTTGTATTGACCATGACGATCTGAACGAGCAATGCCCAGATTACAAGAAATTCGATGTGGACAGTTGCATGGCATGCTGCAACCAATGCAGAAGGACCATTAGGGTCAAGATCAAGAACACGAGTACTCCTATCAAAGATCATGACGTAACTAGGGTCAGTGGAATTGGAAGTGGAGACAACAGACGATACGATGGGCAAGAATAGTGTGGTAGCTCCAAGGAAGATAAAACGTGTGAAAGGGTGGTGGCGATATCGCTGGCCATAGGCTCCAAGCCCAACTATTATTACTGCCAAGATGGCCCCGGTGATTAGCAGCGCGTCAACTTGCCATATGTGATTTCTTATGATCCTGTGGAAGGTCGTAGTAAAATTTGTTGGGCATATCATCTGCGAGTAGCATGGCTCCAGTGCAGGGACGGAGCAGCTTGGTGTTGTATCATTCCTTCCATCCATGGTCCAACTGATTGACAAATTCCAAGATTATTAGAACAGGTTGTCGGCACAAAGGTATAAGGATTTAATCTTACTCTAATGTGCGTGCATGATTAATAATGTTGTATTTGTAACTAGTATAAAGTGCGACAAGTTACTAAGAACAACATAATTAAATTGACGCTATATATAATGAGTCAGTAATAAATAGTTAAAAGAAATTACCATATGCACGGTGCCCACCCAGCTGATTGACAAATGTGCTGGGATTAAGATCCGGCCGGCTGCTCCCGTCCTGGCGATGCTTATATATTGAGCGGCTATGCCACGAGATCCCGGTTTTCCGATATATATCCTTTTGCTTTCAGTGTGTTCTCCACAATTCTTCTGCTGGCTTTTCCTACTTGTGCCTCTTTTTCTATTCCATAGTCCTGACATGTCAAGGTCAGTACAGGTCCCACGTCCCACTACTTCACCACGCACGATCACATCAGCGGTCAGTTTTAAGTTTTAATGGCATTGCCAATAATTTCCTCACAGCTTTGTCTCATCACTGTCAGAGCGTTTATATTTGACATGGTCACCACGCGACCCATCACAACTTGAAAGATTTTCGGGCTGTTCGGCAGGCCGTAAATAATTATGAATTATTTACGGCTGGCTGGTTTAGTGTGAGAAAAAAATATTATTTTAACTTATAATTCACGATCGTACGGCTGGCTGGTTTAGTGTGAGAAAAAAATATTATTTTAACTTATAATTCACGATCGTATACGAGCAAGCGAACATGCTGTTTATTTCATCCCTCGGAGAGTGGATATGATTGGGGTAAAATAATGTCCAGATGTTGCTAAATAAATAATTATCCCAAAATCACCCTACAGAAAATAAAATTAGGATTACAGTTCAGACCTCTACCGGCGAGCCACACGTACAAGGCAGGAGGCTTACATGTTCACATTTGCACTTTGGGGGGGGTTTCTGGGGGCAACTTGACAGAACATCTAACTCAGATCCTACTCCTGCTAATCCTGAAAGGAAGTATGTTCAGTCAAGCAATGGATGATTACTGTGAAGCCATCCGAGGTTAATCCCAGACTACGCACACAAGGTGACACCTCAAATGGATACCATGTGGAAACTGGAGCATAAAGCACACAGGGCGACGGCAACCCCAGACTACGCACGCAGGGAAAAAATAGCTAGCAAGCAGTAGGCTACATTATACTACATCAGCAGAGGTAGCAGCAGCGCCATCGTCCTCGCCCGGCCTGCTCACAATCCCGGCATGGAAAAGCAACGCCCAGAGCAGTGTGATTAGCTCACCTCCTCGGGCAATGGCTTCTGAGTGACCTTTCAGGTTGTCTGATGGAGCGAGATACAGGATCATCTCTGACCAGAACTCAGCTAGCAACTTCCACATGGTTTCCCCCTGCAGCATCCATGCCACCACCTCCACCACCACCCATGCCACCACCTACTCCTGCTAATCCTGAAAGGAAGTATGTTCAGTCAAGCAATGGATGATTACTGTGAAGCCATCCGAGGTTAATCCTCAAAGGATCTTAGCTCCTACTCTTTCCGCATCTTCTTCTGCTGCTATTACCATTGCAGTTCCCGATAATCTAACTCACTTGCAACCATCTTGTTCTCCTTGCCTTTGGTGATCCAATAATTCATCTATCATTGGGGACTGGGGAGGGCGACGAGGCGACGACCACCGTGGCAGGAGCAAAGTGACGAGCAGCTGCGGTGTCCACTCAGACGGCAGCACCGTGGCGGAGTCAATCCCGTGACTCCTGTTGCCTGTTTGGCGGTGAGCGCGTGAGGCGTGGGCTGCCTCCGCTCACCTACTGCACGGTGTGTGATATTGGGCTTTCTTTGCGTGGGCTAAAAAATACTTGGGAATTTCGTTTTGGGCTCAGTTTGGCTCCACTGGGCTCCGCCCATGGGCCCAGGGCGGCGAGAGGCTTCCGCGACGGGTAATGTGGGTGCGGGCAGCGGCAGAGGGATGGGCTGTTATGTTCGTGTCGCGGTCAGAGTTGCCCTTCACTGCCTGTTCACCGACAGAAGAAAAGTGACAGTAACGTGGCTTTCTTGTCACTGTCCGTTAAACAAAACCGATAGTGATATCAAACTTCCGGTTCGTATCCTAAACCGGTAGTTATATCCTCAAGATCACTGTTCTAGTCTTTCAACCGGTAGTGTTGATTTGAGCTACAAACTCAAATGACTGAATGCTGGTTGCTAAACTTAAAGCAATAAGATCATGCGAATGCTTCAAAATCCAAGATTTTGAGCATTTTGGTGAAAAATGGCCGGAACAATGGAAGGAGAGGAAGGGAAAGTCGCTTCCTTGCACTAGTACAAAAAAATATTTTTAGAAGCAGTAAAATCGGTTTTTAGAGGCGGTTTAAAAAACAGCTACAATGGCACCGATTATAAAAATAAATGATTTTCAGAGGCAGTTTTAAAACCGTCCCTGAAAATCAATTTTCAGAGACGGTCACTAAAAATAATTTTTAGATTTTTTAAAAATCATTTAGAGTCTAATAAATTTTAACTGAGCCTAAAGGGACAAGTATCTATTACAGCTCACAAGATTTATTTTCCACCGGGATTTAAAACCACAACCTCTTACTCGTGCCTTTCATCCCGTACCACCACACCACACAGTCACTTGTGACCAACTATACGGTGCTGTCTATTTGTACTAATATGTACGAATGTTGTAATCAATATTTTAACTAATAAATAATCTTAAATAAGAAAACTTTTAACTACAAAGTTTTAGATCTAGTCGATCACTACAACTTTGGTATAAAATATTTCTCCATCCAAGGTCTTTTTAAAAATTCAAAATCTGAGACTTAATTTATATATTTGGAACCCTAAAATGATCTCACACAAAAAGTTTATCAATTACAAAGTTTTATATCTCGTCAAGCTCTATAATTTTGATATAAATTTGGTCTTCATCTGACTTCATTTAAAAAAGATACGAATTTATTTGTGCTGTAGCTATTTTTAAGGACAGTTGACTTAGTCAACCGCCCTTGAAAATCAACTTTTAGGCACGGTGGACTTAACAAAACCGCCTCTCGAAATCACTTATTTTCCGATATATATCCTTTTGCTTTTAGTGTGTTCTCCACAATTCTACTACTGGCTTTTTCTACTTGTGCCTCTTGTTCTCCACGATTCTTCTGCTGGCTTTTCCTACCTGTGCCTCTTGTTCTCCACAATTCTTGAGGTCTTCTGAAAAAGTTCGGTTAGAACCGGAACCGAACTGAAAGAACCGAGAACCAGAACCAAATGAAGCTAGCTAAATGCTGAGTGGCGGTGAGAGGAGAGGAGAGAGAGCATAAGCGGACTGTAAGCTTATAGTCGGCTTCGGCATAAGAACAAAGAAAGCTTATGAGAGAGACAAGTGAGCCATGTATTAGTATTGATGAACTAACTATTGTATGAATGGGCCAAGAGAAGGTTACAAAGAAACCTTACAGCCTTGCTGTGATTGTCCTCGAGTGGAACTCGATTTTTTAAGTTGATACGCTAGTCCTTTCCCTATTTTTTTTAATGAAAAGCTAGGATTTTTTTAACTGAAGTTTGATACTTAAGTTTCTTAAATGCAGATTCTTCATATGTAATGAAATTTGTACCCCCTCTCTTCTAAAATAGAAGTTGTTCTCACTTTATGAGAACTCAGCATTTTTTAACTTTGATCAATTATATTTAAAAGAATATTAATATTTATAATACATACTTAGTATCATTAGATAGATCATTAAATATTTTTCATAAACTTATTTGAAGATATTAATGTTGCATGCATTTTCTACCGGTCTAGTTAAAATTAAGAAACTTTAACATTCCCGTATCCCATAATGACTTGTATCGTGGCACGGAGGGAGTAAAATGCTGCCTGCACAGCCCGAAGAAAAAACTGCTGCGCAATACTAGATTCCTTCTACCATTATTTTAATCGATTTTAGTACGAAGTCCCCCTTGGCGTCTTTGAAGGAACAACGCATGGCGAACGCTGACGGGAACAGCTCAGGCATTGTCCCGTCTGATAAACTTCATAGCAGTCCCAATCTGCTAGAAACAGTTTAATACCAGATGACATGCCGTGTTGAGCAGTTTCAACTAAATTTTGCTGTCATTGTTGCATGTCGATGAAGGAATGCCGAAACTTCTCGCCCGTTTGGCATCATCTGCAGCGGGCGTCAAATTATGAGAAGCAAGGTCGTGCACATGCTCCGGTTTTATTCGTTTCACTTTCACAAGACTAAGACGATGGTGACTTTATGAGCACTCTTAAGTCAACTCAAAGCGCAGAACGTGAACGTGATCCCCGCAAGAAACTGCAAACGACAAGTAGTGAAATGTGAAATGAAGCAATGCTTCTGTTCTGCGTTTTTCTTCATAGCTCTGAAAAATATAGCACGCATGGTATGGACATTGGACCAGGTAGGTATAGCAAACTCATCCAGACTAACTCCTGTAACGCAAAAAAAAAAAAAAATGGAAAACAAAAATGTGCACGGGCCAGACAGTGGGCCACAATATCTTAATTCGAATGGTAAACGGTGAAAACAGTTCGGAAAAGAATAAAGACCGGGCCCATGGAGTATGGCTTTTGAAGTTCAGCAAAGAATTGCCCAAATAGACCCAATCAGTTACGCTCACTATTGGGCGAATTGGGCTGGTCCAGCAATTGAAAGCCCATGTAGTCCTATTGCCCAATGTGCTACGATGATATATATTTTCAGAGTGGGAAGGCCATCTAGCAAAAAGTACTTTGTGTTTGAAGAAGCTTTGATGGTCTTTGGAGGCAACAATAATGAACAACCTGTCCAAAGCATGGGTGGAAGTGGAACGTACCTAGTAGGGATTGTTTCTTGAAGCTCTTTTATTCATTAACCTCAAAGAAAAAAATATCTTCTTACCTAAAAGATAACTTTGGAAACGAATCATAATCATTAATTTCGATCCTCTTTGCCGCTCTATGATAGTTA